AGACTGACACTGAAAATAACGAAGAGCCGCCATGTAAATATTGGCATACTTTATTTTCAATATTCTGGTTTTATTAAAAACTGTAACATTTTGAGTCTAGTTACGAAAAAGTGTTTTCGTTAATTCAGCCACAAAACATCGATTTAAAAAAAAACTGATTTTGAAAAACATTTGTGAAATTCATTATCGCTGTGAGTAATAAATTTATAGAACCTCATAATGTTTGATTTAATCACAAAAAGCATTGCTTGCAAAAACTTAACATTCATGGACCATAGTAAACATTATTTATTGACAAAATACACCAACATTACTCATTTTTGTCATTAAGAACATCATTTAACATGGGCTAAAATTTTTTAATTGAAACAAATGTTGTAATTCCTCTGGTAAAACCACATCAAATTTGATGAACAATTTCATTAAGCGTAAATTTTGACATCGATAACTTATATATACGTAATTCGTTTTCAAATAAACTTATGTTGAACATGGCTCTCTAGAGCAGTTTTCCTTCAAATTAGTCATAGTTACTGATATCATATATTGTAATTAATGCCATTTATATATTACGATTTGTATGTTTGAATGTATTTATTTGAAATTTGATAATTCAGACAATTTTTCGCGCATAAGAACTTAACGATAAAATTACATGAAACTCTACAGTAAATTTTCAATAATAGAAAACATTCAGGCAACAGTCATGAACCAAGTTAATCAACAAAATTACTTATATTAAATAATAGTTTGTTTTCAGTCATTTACGATCACGTTATGTAGTTAATTATATGCCCTTCTAAGTGAACGTAATTTTTTAAAGAAAACGAAGCGAGATATTTCTTATAAATTGTCTAAATTCAACCTCATTTTTCAGCATAAGACAACTTCCTTCCAAATATACAGAAGCAGTAGCCGACTCCATCTATCGAGGCCCGTAACCAAAATCTCCCTGGGCCCGCCTTATTGGAATGATCACCAAACAGAATCTCAACACAAATATATAATAAACAGTTATTTAATTAAAATTAAATACGTTGTACTTAGAAATATTAAATTTTAGAAAGATTTCTTTGAAGAATTTACAGTTTCAATATTTTTTCATGTTAAATTATGAAACATATCCATAAATCGAAATTCTATGCAGCTTGTGCATCGTCAAAAGCACGCAAGATTGCAAAAAATTTAGACATTTAAGATTTCAGTTGTTCTGCTTCTGTACCGCTTCTAAAAGAGACACTCGATTTTCATCATTTCGTATTTGTGGTGACGCAAAAAATCAATGAAAAAGGAGCAAATATCTACTTTTTTATTTCGAATGGCGGGCTCTAGCCTTTGGCCAGTACTAAGGCCGGAAGCAGTGGTCCCTTTATTAAGGAAGCACCTATTTGGTGGGCAACCGTTGTCTCCTATGACAAATTACATCGAAGCCTTCTCCGAGATTTAAACCCGGACCCTTCAGTACGGCAGTCAAGTTCACTAACCACTTTCCCGTCTGGGCGGCCAGGAGCCAAGAACTGGTCGCGTGAATTTGACTAAATGAGAAAAAGTATGCCTCATGTGATGTCTGCAATATGAATTAAACTGGACTTTTTTTATAATCTTTTCTCAAATTGTTACCTCGAAATAAAAGATGGCAAGTGGCATGGTGGAGCTTTCAATGAAAAGCATTCTACTGTTGTCCTTGTGTGTAATGCAGACAGTAGTAATAAACACTGTCCTAGGGAGATCTGTAAGTCCGTAAAACCACGTTGTTGTAAAAACAGGAATATTAGTTTACCTTGCGTCTACTCTTACCGTAAGAAAGCTTGGGTCGACAGTTCATCATTTCCTAATGGCCTTCTTTGTTTTAACAGTCGAAAGGTGGCTCAGAATAATCATTTTCTTATGGCACTGGGCAGGGGTACAGCCCATAACTTACATGACCTGAACTTAACCAATGTACAGGTTCTACACTTTTGCCCGCTAAATATAACAAGTCATCTTCAACCTTTGGATCAAGGCATTATTGCAGTTATGAAGAGGTCTTATCACAAATGATTTATGAGAGCTGCAATTTGCGCTGCTGAAAAAGACACGGAAAGCCAGTTTGAAATGTGCTTGATACAATAAACGCTCTCGCTTCACCCTGGAAATCCGTATCATCACAACACATACAGAACTGTTTTAGCAGAGCCTGGAAACATAAAGACCTAATTCTGTTGCCGAGTTCGATGCCTGTTCACCCGACGAATGAAATAGTCTACAAGAACTCTAGTGTGAGGAGTTTGTTAATGCAGATGACGATGCTGCTATATATGCTGCACTGGAATCTGATGTACAAACAGTTGTGTCTGAGTTGCAAGAAATACAATTAGAAGAACTTGAGGAAAACAATATCAAACTGCCTACCCGCCAGGAAATTTTATATGCCTTGGACACTGTAGAATGTTTTGCTGCAACATCCAGTTAACCACTAGTTTTACGAAAGCCATGAGTACAGTTGGCTATGAAGTTACCAAACATTTTCGTTCCCATCTGCGGCAGCGTAATATACAGTGATTTTTTACTAAAAAAGATTTGTGAGTGTATTTTGTTTCAAATTACACTACAATAATTAATGTATTATTATAGTGTCTTCTATTATTAAATACATAATATATTATAATGCTTGTGTAACTGTGTAACTATATACTGTATATGCTTAATGTGTAAAACAAAAATTATTCCCAAAATTTAATTCCTCAGTTATCATGAACATTTTTAACGCAAATTCATGATTTTTTGGTGCCTTGAGATCCGTGTTAACGAGGGTTTACTGTACTATGTTATTTATAAACCGAATTTTTAAGTCATAGTGCTATAAATATTATAGGCGTGGTCAGTGACTTCAAGATCGCCTACAGCTGGAGGGATTTTCTGCGATTTTTGATAAAACTGACATATTTTAATTCATATATCTTATGAAATTCATAGCCACTCAGAATAAACCGTTGATATATTTATCATAATATGTAATTTTACTGCGTGATCGACATTTATTTATTTTTATTTGTATTTTTGTTTTGAGTGTCAAATTTCAAAATGTGTTATAGATTGTTGAAAATAAACGCTTCATTGTTAAAAGGAAATCACATAATATTCTGTTTGAGATAAAGTGTAATTAACTTTAAATAATAAACTTTAAATAAAAGCTTTAGCATTTCTAAAAGGTTTTATGTTATTTATTCTTTTGCATAGTATAGAGAATACTGCTTAAAACCCTTACGTTATTAAATTACAATTCTTTCCTATGGACCACGGTTCAAAGCAAGTTTTTTGGATCATATAACTCTTTATACGCCACTGTCTTAACTAACTACTTTTTTACATAGCCATCTTGATTCACACAGTGATTAGCGACACTGGCTAAGATACTGATGAGCTGGGTGCGAATACCGGAGAAGGCATGCATGCTTACAAGTGTATAGTGTCTGAGCAGCATAGCGGCACTTAAAATACTGGCGAGCTGGAAAGCCTTTCTAGTGGTTTGGTGGTAAGCAAAAGAGGTAAGAGAACTCTGAGGTATCTTCTCCGGGCGTTCTCTATCTATCAAAATTGGTTCGGAGCCTCGCAGTTAATGCGATGATATTAATATACTTGTTGTGACTCATCGTTATTCTTTTATCTTCACTTTTTATTCTCTCTTCATCTGTTGAGTACACTTTAGTCATTGCATCCAGAGTAAATAGAATTCCAAAGCATTTATCTTCATCAATCTTCACATTTTGGCAGCTTTGAATTTCAGAAATTGTTTTAACGAGGCCCATTTCCTCTATTGAACTAAGGACTGTTACCACTGTACCGGCGGAATCTTTCTACTTTAAAATGTAATGGATAAATTCTTTTACAGAGATAAATTAGCTTTAATTTCATCCTACGCCTTATAAGGTATTTCTCCCGCCTTTTTAGCGAGCCTTCGTGGTGTAGTGATCTGCACGCTCAGCGCATAATTGAGAGGTCCGCGGTTCGATTCCTGGCCAAGACGTTGCTAATTTTTCATCTTGCCTGCTTCCAGAAATACCTAATGTCTCTACAGCCTTAACAATAAGATTCAGTGCATGAAAACTCATTAAGGTATTTTCTATAACTTTTTGAAAGATGTACAGATAATTCACTAAAACGGATAATCGGAAATTCAACATTTTAGGAAAAGAAAATAGGAATAATCATTGATGAGTAAATAAATTTGAAAATAAATTATAATTATTGCTTCATATACAATTCAGGTGCTTTCTTCTTTTTTGCTTTCTATTATTATAAACCCCGCGATGCAGAAAACATTGAATGCATTGCTTTTGTAAAGCCTTAATAAATTCAAAAGCTTGCACATCTAATCCAACTAATTCAGTGTCAGTCCATCATTGCACTGGTATCTTCACTAATTTCAACATAGAAAAATATCTCATGGAACAATTACAGTCAAAATTAGGATGCAGCTTGACAGATAACATTCATGCTCTGTGTTTAAATTCGATTATCCAATCCAACTGAAAGAAAGATGTTTGTTCCCAGAAGGTATATTCACTTGTTACTATTTTTAGCAGAGTGTTATACGGTTCAGCATTAAACTTTTCAGACTCTTGGAAGACATTTAGAATATATATGGATAACAGACACTATACCCTTGTAAGCAAGCATCCATGCCTTCTCTGGAATTTGAGATCGACCCATCAGTATCTCAGTCAGTGTCGCTAATCACTATATCAATGAAGACGGCTATGTAAAAATGTAGTTATTTAAGACTATAGAGCATAAAACTGCTGCTTTTAAAGAAGTTGGATAGATTTTTATAAATTGTTCTAAAGGAATCTATTAAACTCCTCATATCCTATATGTCGAAACATGAGGAGGATTTCGAAGATTTTCTGTATGGGTTTTGAAAGGTTTTTTTTTTTTTTTTTTTTTTTTTCTTAATGTTTTCTTGTTAAGTGCGACAATTTTATTTATTCACCTAAATGTTATTCATATTCTCCTTTCAGGATCATGACTTGAAGCAAAGACTAATGAATGAATTACGAAAATTGGTTCTGCAGTAAGACAGCAAATTCAATATCTTACGCAAAATGGCAAAAAGATTTTCTCTATTTGGACTGAGTCGGCGCAACTGCAACTTTAATCATACTGTTTACTTACTTCTGTTATCTTTCTTTATTCATTCTTGTAGTGCATGTTGGGGAAAGTCGGCAACAAAATATGGAGGTAAGTTTCATGTTTTTTGGTGATTTATATTTGGGGACATGTAATATGTGTCGATTAGAACAAAGTTCACTTGTGCCACACGAAACGCCTCGCGAAAACTCCAGCAGTCCGGATAATAATAAAATAACCCTTGCACATACGAATGTATAAATATTGTAATTATTTTGATATATATGCATAAAGATAGTGGCAGTGGTCGAGTTGTTATTCGAGCCTTTCTTTTATTCGTGGTGTATGCAGGTACACATAACTTGCCGCAATAAGCGCTCCTGTTCTTGAAGAACTATTTCTGTACCTTATAGATTTTTGAAGAGATATTTGAAGACAGACTGCGCAGCATCACAAAGGTAAGCATGTTAGCAGGATGGAAGCGAAAGAGAAAATGCGACGTGTTCAATCCGAAATTTTGTTTCCGAATGATTTGGTTTTTGTTTAGCTTTATTTTGATTGGTTAATAATAACTTTCTAAATTTACTATTGGCTGAAGCCTAATTTAAGTATCTGCGTTAACATTATGCAAGAATCATAAGACGTGGATTAATTTAAAAATAACTCAGTTTAGAGAAGTTTACTGCATAAATAGAATCGTTGGCTAAACTTTTACAGGCCGATAAAAAAACTTTTTCAAGTAGACTGGCTGTCCCATCGGCGGCGAAAAGGAAATTGTTTGTACGCGTTGATTTATAAATAATGTAGCTACTTTTTATTGCTTAAAATATTGTGAAAGATCACTTATTAGTATTATTTTAAAACATAAATGAACATATTAGCATTAATTTATGATGTCTCTGCTCAGTGTTGATTTGAGAATTAATAATAATATAAGCTCCAAAATGCATGTGGCCTTCACTATTAAAATTTGGGGAAAATTTCAATGTCTTATGATTTTTAAAAATACGACTTCTAAAACATATTTAGAAGCTAATTTAGTTCCGTTTCATGTTTTGTTTTTATTTTTTACAGACATGACCGAAGATTACGACCTGCTTGTAGGATCTGATTTAATTCTTAATTGTACTCTCTTCACGAAAAGCCCACCCGAAGCTCCGGAAGGAGTCAACTCTTCGAATCTTGTTTTTAAAAAAAGAAACCAAGAACTTACTGATTTCACTCACCAGATTGATTCTCATACTGCTCAACTAAAGATACCAAACGCCAGTCAAAGTGATTCTGGTTTCTATCACTGTAGTCTCAATATTCCTTCCAAAGAGTTAGTCTGCAGCAGCAAAGTCAGCGTTGGGTGTAAGTTGGAAAATGTTTTTGTCCTTATTTATAACAACATTTTTGTAACAGAAACATCGTCTTTAAATTTTATCTTTTCTTACAAACCATGAGCTAATTTTATCCTTCAAGTGATAAGTAAAAATCAGCAGATTTAGCTTTCTCTAATTCAGGAAGATTAGCCTATCATAAAGTTACTTTTTCTTTCTTGAAAGAAATTTTATCTTATTCAAGAACCAATGGAACAAATGAGATTTATTCATGACTCATTTTAAGCTGACAGATTAAAATGGTAATGGGAAAAATTGCTTTTTATGAATATTGTGATGGTAACAATAAAAAAAAATTTATAGTGCGGGAAATGTTATACCCAAATCTGTATTGCAGTTTTCATCTGTCAGCTAAAACCATAGCTGTAAAAGTTCAGAATTTTGAATGTACGTTAAGTGCTTTCAGAAATGTCTAAATGTTTTTAAAAGTATTTGAACAAACCTTTCGCTCTTTTTATATTCATTGTTCATATTTCTAAGTTAATTCATCCCTGGAACATAGTATAATAACATGTTTCATATATTAATGTATAGGATATCTTTGATAAAGTTTTTTCATCCAAAGAATTAGAGGAAGTGTGTTATAGAAAAAAATCTTCTGTTAATTTTTTTTTTTCTGTCTGTTAGAATAATATTTTTCCTGTAGTACTAATGAAATCTTCATAATTTTGTCATTATAATTTCGTTTATTTTATTGTTTTAAGTATTTTGTCTTTAAACGCAAAAAAAAAAAAAAAAAAAAAAAAAAAAAAAATGTTAACGATGATCTCAACATATTTTATTTTTCTATCTAAGAAAACGCTTCTTGTAAACTTTCCAATAACCGAACAGACGGTTTTATAATTTTTAAAAGCTGCAAAAACTTCAAAATTGTAATATTGATATGCGGGTTTTTTTTTTTTTTTTTTTTTTTTTGTAACTCTAGGATGCCTCTAGCTGCTTATGAATGGTTGCAGATATTGGAAAATTATAAAATTAAATCCGAAAAGCCAACTCTAAACACTTCAACAACGTGAATTACGTATACAAAATTTTTTTATTTTTAGCCGCTTATGTTTTAAATCTGCTGTTATTTTGGAAGGATTTTAAGTTTTACTAACGTTTATTTTAAAACTACTGTCCTCTCTTATTTTCCATTTCTGACCAGAGTAAACGCGAACAGGTTTGGCTATGCAAACTGTTAAATGTTTTTAAGTTATGGCTTTTAACCAGGAGGGAGGGAGAGAGAGATTTCTCGCTACCTTACCTCGCCCGCGCTTTTCAGTCAGTTCTTGTCTGCCTTTGTGGCCAGAACTTAGTTCTCATAGATACTTGAAGACATAACGTAGTTCCCGCATTCTGCTCACTACCATACGTAAAGTTTAAAAGCGTTACTAGTCTCTGTAAAATATCTGAGTTTAGTTCTTATTTAATTAAGTAGTTTTAGTTCTTTGTACGAACATAGTTTTAAGTAAGCTCCCTGTTCTTACTCATGACTGCAGTTATGTTTGCAAAGGCAATTAGAAGAAATAGCAGTCCTGATAATTTTACTTGTATATTACTTGTTATTTATCTGACAATAAATGCACAAATCTTTTTTATGGGATAAATTTACTAAAAATTAAAAATTTCAATTTATACATACATAGTTTATCCTTTAGAAACAGAAATATCCAATCTCCGCACTCCAAAGACCCAGGAAGTCAGCAGAAATATTGAGAAATGTGATGGTCGTTATACATGTGTTTTTTGTATGTCTTTGCTTTATTATTTGCTGTGTGGTCTAGTATCCGCACCAACTTCTTAGATCAATTTTATATCCATTAAATAGTTTTTATTTTATTCTGTGTTTTGTTTTTGTTGCTTATTTTTTGAACTGGAGTGTAGAATATAGAAAATCTGATGTGGGATCCACATGACTTTCGTGTATGGCCTATTACACACATTGTACCCCAAGTAGCACATGACGTAGCAAAGACGTTACCACGACCACTTTGCAACCTCTGGGACCAGTTTTGCAACGTCTTTGCTACGTCATGTGCTACTTGGGACACATTTTTGCTGCACTTCATTTAAACTTATTTTCTCCAAATTGCATTAGACGTATCATTCATTCTCATATTCATTCTCATCAAAAAATATTTTCCTCGGATGATAATGTAAAATTAGAGGATATTTTAAATTCTGTTTTATAGCTATTGTGTCACATGCAGATGTTTCCAGTTTACGATTTTACATTTTCATAGAAGAATATTAATAAAAAGTTTCCTTCTATCAAATGATTGCATTCTGTGAATCAAACTATAAATATCAACAAATATCAGCGTAAGGATGAATATATCTTTTAGGATATCATATATGTTATTACCGTGGCGTTTCCATTGCACATTCTTTCAACCCATTTGGTCTTTCGCAATATGATAGTCGTAATACATGTGTTTTTGTATGTCTTTGCTTTATTGTTTGTTATGTTGTCTAGGAATGCCACCCCAACCTCTTGGATCAGTTTCACGCATATCCATTAAATAGTTTTTGTTTTATTCCGTGTTTTGCCTTTTTTGCTTATTTTTTGAGCGGGAGTGTAGAATATAGAAAATCTGATGTGGGCATCAGATAACTTTCGTGTATGGCCTATTACACACTTTATACGCAACTATACAATCCGGGGACTCGTTCTCTCTTGGACAGGTGGTCAGCTTGTAGGTAGATAGGCTACGAAAGAAGGGGGCGCCTGGTGTCTAACAGAGGTAAACAGGCATGTATCCCCCGCCCTCCTCTAACTACAGCAATAGCTCCCTGGAGCCTCACGAGGCTGACAATTTTTGCTGCACTTCATTTAAACTTATTTTCTCGAAAAGCATTAGAGATATATTTAAAAAAAAAAGATAAGATATAAATGAGAGATTAAAGAGATATATTTAAAAAAAAGATCCCATTCATTCTTATTCAATCAACTGGCGGCAAGGCAACAATACATGAAAACTCAAAACATCTTCATTAAGAATTCTAAAGTAGAAAAAAACTTAAAACATCAAACACAGTTATAAAAAAAATTTGCAATTACAATTTTAGTTTCAACCAATTAAACCAACGAGCAAAAAGACAAAATATTCAGTGCACAAACATATGGCCGATTGCAACAAAAAAGGAAGTGCTCACCTAGATGTTACAGCAGTACCCATATTCAAAATTTCGACGTTCTACGGCTAATCGTTTTTAGTTATGCGAGATACATACTAGATACGCATGTTTAGACGTCACGAAAAAATCTTTTCTGAATCCCGGATTTAAAAAACGGATTTAAAAAATCCGTTTTACAGTCCCAAAACAAATATAGTACCCGAAATTTTTCGCGATTACAGTACTTATTGGGCCTAATTAGAGAATGCTGAGTTAAAACTTCAAAGATCGGTATCTTCAAACTTTTGTTAAACTTTTTATAACTTGTTTAAAAATCTTCCGATACCGGTTGGCGCAAATGTAATTTTATCACGTTTTAAGTGAGGTAACTAAAATAATTGGCGAAGAATATAATTGATAACAAACGAAAATAAAAACTATGGGTTTTTACAAATATATGAAAACGTAAGTTCCCATTTTCCTGTGCAATAATCAAGTAACTTGCCTTCAAGATCGCAGTATGATTATGGAGACAGAAATTCTCACCGGCACAACAATATAAATGCCGCAACTATAACTCAAAACCGAATAATACAATCCTATCTGAGCTAGCGATATCCAGTAGCGTGGCCTCGAGAGGTACAAACATGCTTTATTTTAAAAACCGAAAACCTCATCTTAAGTGTCTTTAACCTGATTTGCATTCTGGTAGGAAAGAAGGAGTAAAAATCAGAATCATAATTAACTGGCTAGAATAACATAATGGAATCTTATAATCTTGTTAAATTTACCAGCTGAAATTCTCTTTATGTGTGTAATAGTAGGAGAGTCAACAGCCATAGCCTTGCGTCCGGATTCAAATCCTCAAGAAGGCATGGATGTGTTGCAAGTATGTTTTGTCTTTCCATCTTAGGAGGCACTTAAAATGCTGTCGGGTCAGAAGACCTGTGGACAAGCTGGTGGAAGGAGAAGAGGAATAGGTGAAGTTCGTATCTGTTTCTCTTTCAAAATTGATATGAGTCGGTCGTAAATTGGTCGTTTCATCACTTATAAATTAAAGGCTTTGGTCAATGACAAAATTTGCACCTTGGCCAAGACGAATTCTTGAACTTGATCTGATGTTACTGTCAGAAAAATGAGCTAAGTTTCAAAACGGAGAGCGGAGTGGAAAAAACTAAAAGGGAAGCCCATGGCCAACCCAAAGACTGCAGAACGAAAGAAGTGCTTTAGCATCAGGTCAGGTAGCAAAGCAGCTTTTGTACAAATTCCCGCATTTTTCAGTGCATCAATGTCAACGATTCTTTTGATGTACGTATTAAGAAATGCAGCTTGCCGAAATCCGCATGTTTTGCATTTTGATCCTTCCTCTGAACGAATCGTGTCGCAATCGTAAGTGTTTTTCCCTTTTTTTTTTACCATTTGCTGATGTAAATTCTTCTACCTTTCTAAGTCAGCCATTTATGATAATGTTCGGCAAGCATAAAATAATCCGCCATTTGTAGCATTCAATTATCACTAACCGTGGAATATTACGCTCAACAGGTGATGCTGTCGTTTGTCCTGATGTTAAACGTTCCACGGGATTTATATTGCATTATTTGCAAGGTTTTTTTTTCCCCCACTGTGATTCAGATATTTTTTGCTGCAAAATTTTGATTATTAAGCGAGATTTTTATTTTTAAATAAAATCGAAAATAAGAAAAAAATTTTTAAATAAATATCTGTCATTACTTGGTGACAGTTGGTTGCAAATGAGGTAAATCACTCAGTCAGCAGTAATTTTTAATAATATTGTACGTTAGAAATATTATTAAAAATATATTTATTATTTATCTTTTAATAATATTGTCTGTCAAAAAGTTATTTATTTCA